CTGCCGCTGCTGCTGCTGCTGCTGCTGCTGCGGCTGCTGCTGCCGCTGCTGCTAGTACTACGACTACTGCTGCTGCTGTTGCTGCTACTACTACTGCTGCTGCTGCTGCTACTGCTGCTGCTGGCTCGAAGGAAAGAAAAGAGACAATTGTCTCTTCTTCGATTTGTATTTCGCGGAGGCCTGCAGCGCAGCAGCAAAAGGGACAATTTGTTTTCTGCATTAAAAAAGACAAAGCAATGAGGCCGCAGCTAGCTGCTGCAGCTGCAGCAGCAGCAGCAGCTGCTGCTGCTGCTGCAGCAGCAGGACAAATGCTTACTTTTGCTGCGTCGAAGGCGCAGGGAAGGCTGATAGAAAAATTCTCCTTGGAAGCAGCAAAGCGGCCCTTGACTGCCAACATGCTGCTGCCGCTGCTGCTGCTGCTGCTGCTGCTGCTGCTGCTGCTGCTGCTGCTTGGTGCTGCTGTGACGTCGAGCGTCTCCGGGTCTACTGCTGCAGCAAAAGTGATGCGCAATTCAGGCTGGCCCTGAGGAGACACATGGAAGCTCAGGGTGTAGTCTGCTGCTGCTGCTCCTCCTTGCTGCTGCTGCTGCTGCTGCTTGTGCTCCTGCAGCAACTGCGAGAAGCACTGCTGAAGCATCGGCTTCGAAGCCGGCAGAGGCGCCGTTTCCTCTTCTTGCTGCTGCTGCTGCTGTTGCTGCTGCTGCTGCTGCAACGGACGCTGCATCTGCCCTTCTGCTGCTTCAGTTGCGTCACTGCTGCTGCTGCTGCTTGCTGCTGCTGCTGCTGCTGCTGCTGGTTTGCTGTACCGTTTCGTCGCTCTCACGCTGAACAGCGGCTGCTCCTCTTCCTGCTGCTGCTGCTGTTGTTGCTGCTGCTGCTTCTGCTTCGCGTCCTCCAGAAGCAGAAGAGCTGGGGAAGCAGCGCTTTTGATGCTGCTGCTCTGCTGCTGCTGTTGCTGCTGCTGCTGCTGCTCTTCTGGCTCCGCCGTTTGCTTCGTGCCTTCTTCCAGAACTTCTATGAGACGAGCTCCTTCCGAAGAGCGCTGCTGCTGCTGCTGCTGCTGCTGCTGCTTCCGCAGCGCCTGCAGAGGATCGAAGTCCGGCTGCTGCTGCTGCTGTTGCTGCTGCTGCTGCTGCTCTTTCTGCTGCTCTTCCCGCAGCTGCTCTACCTCAGTGCGCGTAGGGAGGTGGACTTTTGCTGCTGCTTTCTGCTTCTGGTGCTCTGCTTCTGCCGCTGCAGCA